GAGGTAGACCTAGAAAGACTTGGGCATATTGTATAACAAAATGATCTTAATTTATTAGAATTAAATGAAAATATGATACTCAATAGGATGCAATGTAGAAAAAGGATTCATGTAGCCGACCTCATTTAATGGGATAATGGTTTGTTGTTGTTGTTGTTGTTGTTGCTTGCCTCTATAAGGTTTTCCTGTATGTTAGAAGGGGGAGGGAGTGTTTTGAATGGTTGTAATAACTTTTCTCGTATCTTTCCGGGTTAAGAAGTGTACTCAGCATCCTGGAGTGGCGCCCAGGTGGTGATCAACCATCTTTCTTTTCAAATAATGCATTCTTTCTCTTCGTTGGGAATTTCGGTTTAGCTTTCCTTCTTCTGGAATTTTTCAAAGCTGCAGATTTCAGTTTTGCCTTGTAACAGTTTCAAAACTACAACTTATTTTCATATAGTTCTTTGTATCTTTGGTATTTATTCGATCATGTTGAATTTTTCAAAGCCTAAGACGATGAACATGGCGCAATATGCATCTTAGAGCTAGTTTAGTTTGCTATAGTCTATATTTATATCCTTAAGATTTGTTTGGTTGTATATATTTATTTTTAATTTTCTTTCTGCATTTTTTTCGTGAAACTTGTGCTGTTTGTTATCTTGAGTCCATTGTACTTTGGGCCCTTTATAATTTTACCCTTTTTTGCAATCTTGAGCCTTTTGTTGGTGGGCCTTGTAATGTCTTTTTATGTCATGTATGTGCGTCATACGAAGATTTACTTTGTGCTAATTTACCCACCACATGACTCAGCCCAAGTGACTCATTTTTTTCCTGGTTCGGTCACTTGTTGATCATTCTTCACATCATCACTTTGACTTGTCATTTTTCTTTTGAGTTGCCATGTTATCATTCTTAATATGCTATCATGACATTCAACATGCGAACAAATAATTAATGTTTATGCATTGCTTGTATATATTTACATGTTTGCGTGTTTGACATGATGACAGAGTTAACTTAAAATTTTGCACTCACACTAGAGTTCACCACTTTCAAATATTTTAAAATCGATGTAGGTTCATTTTTTTACCGAAAAAATAATTTGTGTGTATTTTATTTTTTATTATTTAGTGTTAATCCGGGGTAGAAGTATTCCATTTATGAATTTCCATTTTCATTGGTGGTTTTCATCGATGAGGATAGCTCTTTGTCTACCTTTAGTTAGAGGTTGAGTATGTCAACATTGTTTAAGTTATATGAAAATTAAACCCATCGTTACCTGATGATAACAAAATTGCCACCAAGTTTTGGCTAGGCTTGGTTGCCAAAGGCTAGCATTCGTCTCCTTGAAATAGGATATAAGATCTTGATGGAGTGAGACATAATTTTGGTTTGATTAAAGATCAATGACATGATGGTATTCATGTTTTGGCCTGATCAAATGCCAGTGACTCAATGGCCTTAAAAGTGTTGTTTTGATTGAAGATCGATGCATCGCGATCTTCAAACTATCTGGATCTATGATAATATATATTCATGTTTTGCTCTATGCATTTATGTGCGAGAGCATTACATAGTGTAGATTCAGGGAAAGTGACTTTGCTGAAGTTGATTGTGAGTTGGGCAACCTTGAGAGAGGAGATCAACCTCACATCACAAGGACTCGAACTGAATTTCTCAGGGCCTGCGCAAGTTAAGAGATGTGAGGAGATGAGAGACAGTGCACAGTTCAGGGCATTAGGGTTTTAGGAGATGGGAAACATTTGACATAGCGGATCATCAAGATAGCATTGACATGCAAGGCCTTTAGAGAAGGTAAACGAGACGCAGGAAGGTAAATGAGAGAGACACAGGAGGCCGCTTCGGCTATCTAGGGCTTTGGCGCATGCAAGATCAAGATAGCTTGCTTTAATGGGGGTTGAAGGAAAGTCATAAGTATGAAGTTGGAGGAGTTGCAATCTGTTATTGTATGCCTCGCTAGGTGGTTGATGAAGGCAGAGGCTGATAGAAAAATATGTGTGTTTGATTGTGTGCCAAGTAAAAGTTATGCCATAAAGGGTGTCGAAACTCAGGTTGGATCAAAGATCAATGATAAAGGCAATCTTCAAACTCATTTCAATCCATTATTGACAACTTTAGATCTTCATAATTTGATCAAAGATTCGTAGTTCTTAATGTGGACATCCTTCATTTTAGAGACGACTCCTTGTTATCATAGTAGCTAGTTGGCATCACTTTGTTTTGGTAGTTTCTGTAGCTATTTTTAAAGGAGGGAGGGGAGTTGAGGTGTTGGTGAGATATCTATTTTTATGATGTCATGGGGGGTGTGAGGATGCATTGGGATGTGACAATACATGCTATGTTTTGTGGCTCCTTTAATTTCACAGGGATGACATCTGAACCCTTTGGTAGCAGGGTGTGGACGTGGTGAGGGTTTCTTGCTAGTGATTTGTGGACATCACTGCTTGGATGGATTGCGGCATAGATGGATGACAAGGAGATGTGGAGCTCGCGATGTGAGTGATGAGAGAGGAATGGTGGTGGAACTAGTGAAAATGTCATAAAATAGGTTTTTTGTGTGGAATTCACTTGCTTGTCCTGAAAGATATGCATTGCAATTTATGACGGAGAAGGAGATGTGCTTATAAAATATATATAGTTGGATTTGACCGGTCAGTTTTATTTATTTATTTTTTGCTTGACATCATATAAAGTGATTTAAAGGCTAGAAAATTTCCCAATGAGTATCCAATTAATCTCTCAAAACAATATAATCAATTTAATGAAGATAATTAGTCTTAATTGAGTTGATTAAGTTTAAGCTTTATGGAACAAGATTAATCCTGTTTAAATTTTTAAAAAATGGGTGCCTTCTTTTAATCAAATTGACTTGATCAGACTTAATTTTGCAACGTTGAAATAATGCCTCTTTTTTAGTACTATTATAAGCAAATTCTTCACCATTATGAAAGACAATGATTTATGATTGCCCTTGGGTTATTGTACTTTGATTTGGTGTTACATGCCTTTGCCACACACTTTCTTCTTAATATCCACTTAATTAACTCCAATGGTACTTGTTTCTTCTGTCAATGTTAAATAAAATGATATGATTATCTGCCTCTTGCTCACTATGCTTTTTCATACTGTTTTAAATGCTCTACTCTATAGCTTATTCCTGCTATAAAATCAAATTGATTCTTTCATTTGATGAAATATTTCTTGCCTTTGTATTATTACCCTCCCCACAACTTAATCCATGATTCAGAAGTTTATTTCCTTGTAATTGACATTAGTATGGGTTTTCCGTTGTTATTGAATGCCTCTGTTATGTTATTTTTCGACCACCATTCAAGTTAATTAATACTAAAAATGTTTTTTTTTAAAAAAAATTTAGAAACACTTATAGTTTGCTGATATTTATTCTTTCTAGTCCCAACAGCACGTAAGATTTTATCATCTTAGTACTATGGTGGGATTATTCAGATGAGAATTTTAGCTATAAGATTAGAAAGACTTGATTTCCAGTGCTACTGCGACTATTTATGTTAATTCGAGGTTCTAAGGTCTAAAGTCACATCAGTTGCTTTATTTGTGCTCACCTTTTTCAAATATGATTTTTTTGCAATAAAAGGAAGTGTTGAAATATCTTGAGCTCATTGCCAGCACCTTCCATCTATAACAACCTAATAATTTATGGATAATATTTCTTTCATCTACAACAGTCGAGCAATCCGTGGATAACAATTTTTATCAACAACATTCCTATAATCCGTGGACAATAGTCTTTTTATCTATAGCAATCTAATAATATGTGGGCATCAAAATTCCATTTTTTTCTTTGTAGTTAATGTTAGATTCTAGAATTGAATATTGGTTTACAAATTTATTTGTCTTTGATGGTTGTTCCTCCTCTTATTCATGTATAAGTTCTCATATTTTTATACACATAACAATGGAATAAAATTTAATCATAAAATCTTTCATTTTTTGCTTACTCTCCTCACTATAATCTTCAAGATGTGGCGTCAGAACCATTTAAGTTTTATTCCCTTTAAGGATCACGCATCCTTCAACATGGGGTCCCTCATCGAAGTTGTAGGTTCTTCACCAACACTAAAAATCAATCTTAACCTTAAAGTAAAAAATTCAGATCCAATATATGTAAAAGTCTTGATGAAATACTTTACTGAAGATTTTCATAGAGGACCATGAATGAAAAAAAATGCAGCAGCTCTATTCTGTCTCTTTCAACCATTAGGATATTACACAAAAGAGAGCCTACTCTTCTCCCAACAAGAATTTATTCTATAACATTATTAGAATGAGTTTGATTGCTCCAAAAGAAAATTTTTAGTTGCTTTCCTTGTAAATTAAAAAAAAAAAACCTACTTGGATGTAGATTTGGGAGCGTCGGATCATATGATAAAAGAAAAAAAAATTTATTTTGCAACTACAACCCATGTCATGAAAATTGTACTTTAAATGGTAGATGATCGATAACTACAATACACACTTTTATTGAATAACCTAGACTTTAAGTTTGGATGATTGGTAGTGCGGAATGTATAAAGAATAATCCCTGAAGTTATGGGCTCAAACAATGAATCTTTTATCCATAAAAAAATTTCACCTCAAATTGCAAACAAGATAAGAAAGATTGACATTTCATCTAAAAATATGAAAATGGACTAGCTCAACTAAATTATTCAGCAAAATCTTGAAATGCTTACTGTGTGCTCAACAAAATGACATGAAACCTTAAAAAATAACATGGTGTTCTAGCAATTTTAAATTAAATCCAACAATTTTGGGATGTGTGGTAATGCAGCAGGTACAGGTGAATGAATAAGCATACTACATTTCCTAAGTACATTTTTCTATACCATTGTGAGAGAGTCATTTGATGTCAGTTTTGACTTTTGGCCAATGCTGTATTGGTCCTTTTCTTAACTTCAAACTTCATTTTTGTTGACATAAAATCCACTCTGAATTGATTTGTTATTTAAAACATCAAGCAGATGGCTAATTTCAAGGTAGATGCCTCATCAGATAATACTGCAGAAGAGCGTACTGGATCAAAGATGTAAGTGTAATTTGACTTGGGGGGATCATTTGCATGTATACCACCCAATTCCTATGTATTTACTCATCTAACACATAAACTATACTTTTTACTTTCAAGCCATCCTAATATTTCAAATCACATCATAAGTACCACCATTTTAACTTTTAAAAGTGAGGTACACCTTTTCATGCAAAGGTAGGGTAGCATGTATGTAAAAATTGAATTTTAGGTGTTACATGTTGTAAATGCATTGGAATTGTGTGGTGTGTATGTAAATCTTCCTTTTTATCTTTATTTCTACTCAAGTGAGTTTATTAGTTTCATATACTTTCAGCCATGAGAGATCAGAAACAAGTTCTGGGTTTCTAGTGCCACCCATATCTTCAGTGGATGCTCGTGAAGTACCATCTAAAGAATTATTAACCGTACAACCGGTTTTTGTTGCCAAAGATTTCATTTCCCCCATAAATACCGAACCATCAAATTTAGCTAATAATGCCCTTATTTTAAGCGTTGAGGAATCTACAAGCAAGTTGATCATAGCTACAACCAACTGTGAGAGAATCACCAGTCTTTCAGAGGAGAGGAACTCTCTTGCTGGTCTTGATCTATCTGTTGCACCTTCATCTGTTTGTCAAATGAACCTAAACCTTGAAGCAGATATACAATCTGACGATGTTATGCTCGAAAATCATAGAGATTCTCAAGGCTCGTCGACTCCGTGCTGCTCCCTTGTTTTCACGGATGAAGAAAATGACGCGAAAAGCAAAGAAATAGAATGGTTGGAAAGCCTCGATTATGCATTAAGGGAGAAAAAGAAAGAAAGAGGTACATGCTCATTGACAGCGGACAGCATTTCCGTGATGCCGAGCAAGCCAGCTGAGCGATCTGCGAATAGTAAGGTGAGCATAGAGTATAGTTGATGATTACCAATGAAATTTTTGTTAGCTAAAAATGCAAATCCTCGTGCTTTTTAAAATTATAGTGTGGTATAATTTTTTGTACTTTTGTTGCAGAACATAGGAATTGATTTCGTGGATCAATTAACCGCATTACCAGAAAAGCATCTGCCGGCAAATTTTCATAATCGTAGCTGTAAACAGCAAATAAAAACTGAAAAATTCACTTCTTTTACTGATTTTCTGGGCTGCTGTTTGCCTTCAAATCCCAATATACCATTGGACTTGAACACCACAGCGGCACCCACTGGCTCTCATTTTTGTTCCAATGGGACTGCATCATTGTTCACCGCTAAGCATATAACTCAAAATTCTGCAGCTGAAATTTTGTTAAATGGAAAGCGAGCTTCTTTATCAGATAAGCCAAAGAAATATTTTAGCGAATGGTCAGAAGAAGAGCTGGATTTTCTTTGGATTGGTGTGAGAAGACATGGAGTAGATAACTGGAATGCCATTTTAAGAGATCCAAAATTGCAATTTTTACAGTCAAGGTTCCCTGAGGATCTGGCATTGCAATGGGAACTAGAGCAGAAGAAGCTCTTAAATGGCTTCCTTCTTCCTCCGGCAAGGCTTTCCAAGCCAAATACACTCTCTACTCGATTATTGGAACCTCACTATACTCCTAAACCTCATCCATATCCAGAGAATCCTCATTTTACCGAAACAAGACTCTCTCTTGGAGATGTCTACCTTCGCAAGGAGAGCACCACGAGAAGTTCGCTCGGATTTGTCCTTCCTCCAACAAATAGCGAGAGTTCGTCTTCCGCTCCCTTGCTCGGCAGCTTCTTGTCAATGTCCTTATTTCCCGGCGCTGCATTAAGACATAAAACTTTCTGTGGTGGATCAATGTCAGCAATGTATCAAATGGATCATGGTTTTCACAAACAGTTCAGAGAAAGATCAGGGAGTCAACAGAAGCCGGCAGGTGCAGATCTCCCTCATTGGCTTAAAGATCTCAGGGGACGAGGAATCCTGAAAAGGAAAAGTATGGCTTCTGGGAAAAAGAGTGGCGTCATGAAGACTGAAGAAGCATCAGCATCCATTGAGGAGTCTGGATGTGAAAGGCCTGCAATAGGTATTGGAGCTTCTTCTCATCAGAAAAATATAATTGATTTGAGCAATAATGTTACAGATTCTGCTATACCAAATGATTTGGTTGTTTTAGATAGTGATGCGTCTTCTGAGGAAACAATATCAGATGATCAAAACAGGAGGCCATAGCAGAGCAGGATCCAAATCGGATAGATTGAGGAAATATTTCTGCAGGATTTTGTAATTCCTGTGCAGTTTTGTTGTATGTATGTGATGTACAATTGTTTTATGAGAATCTACGAATTTAGTTGGTTAAAGGGTTATTGATAGACCTTATTGGGAACGCAAAGGATTTTAGGTGTATGAACAAGAGGTTTTATATAAAGTTCTTGTGTAATGCATTACTGTATAATTCAAATATATATATATATATATATATATATATATTGCTATTTTGAGCGGTCGTGACACTTCTGTTTTAATGATGATGCGTTTATTAATTTTGACATTCTTAGGAATTTGAAGTTTCGATCTTGTTTATAAGAATATTTTCATGGTAGCAAAATGGTCTTGTTGCTGGGATTTGATGCAGTGCTTTTGGAAGGTAGAGCATTACCATAATGCGTTTATATATACATGCATGAAGAATAAAATTCTTGCATGTACTTAACTATATATATATATATAAGGTTCTTTTTTTTTTATACATAGCTTCGAAAACTTTCAAAATTATCTATTTTACATCCAGATTTTCATAATTACAAATCTTAGAAGAAAATCTCCACCTTGTGAATATTCAACCCCTTAGGAGAAGTCATACCTAACAAATCTCCACCTTTGCGAATATTCAGCCCCTTAGGAGAAATACATCACGAAGTTTCTTACACCAAAGTGGGTTGGGCAACCATGTCAACTAGTAACTGCAAATATTCAACAAGTTCAAGTAACACAAGAATATCTGGCTTGGTCAACTTTTCTGCTACATTTTTATCATATGATCTGACAGAGTGATCTTTACCTACAATTGTACTCTTCAACAGTTTATAGATGTTACAATCAAGTTTCATAGCTCGCAATGCCTTCAAAATTCATTGATGTATCAACAAATCTTTCACCCTTGTTTGACAGAATCTGAAGTTCCCTGTTTCATTGAATTTCATTATCTCGAATTTTACACCAGACATTGTCATTTGAAATTAATCCTGCTGTGAATTTTTTTTGCTGCAACTCCTGCGACAAACCTGCAAACTCCATTGTTCGAGCACCACCTATCGCAACTGCATCTGCCGCAACTCTACATGCGACAAACTTGCGAACTCCTTTGGCCGAGCACCACCTGTCGCAACTACTCGTGCGACAAATTTGCAAACTCTTCCGTTCACAAACACTCATGTTCGCAATAACTGCACGCAAACTCCTGTTCACGAGCTTCACCTCGCCGAATGCCACGAAAGTTCATGAAACCAGCGAACCCTAGAACATTCACTTCCAACCAAAGAAAGAAAATTTTCTGTGTCTTCAGCCTGAATCAAAAAAGAAATACAGAGGGACTTGGGAATATCCTCCAGCAACAAGAAATTCCAGAGAGAATTCAAGAGGAAAGATTCCCTTCTTTCCCTGATTCCAACCGCCGAACTCCTATAACTGGGGCTTCTCGCGAGCTGCAGAGTGGTTCGTTCGGACCGATCCTCTGCCGAACACCTACGAAACCCTTCGCGAAATCCAACTGGTGTCGAAGATCTTCTCCAAACCGAACACCTCTGCCGCGAATCCTCTTCACGCGACCCGTCTGAGACTTCGCTGTCGAACTCCAAACTGCTACTCGTCGCTGAATCCAAACCTTTGGACTCCTAATTTCGCAATACCTGTGAATCCTTCTCCCAAGCAGTTATCGAACCGCCTCCGGAACCGCAGAATTGCCAACGAACTTCCTCCCGTGCTCCTCTGCCGCGGATCTTCCAGTTCGAAGCAATTTCGTAAGCGGAGAACTCCTTCGCTGCAGAACTCCTCCTGCGGCAAAAACCTCGCCAAACTCCTCGCAAACTGCCGCGCGAAACTGCCGCAGTCACGAACTCTTCCTCACGTTTGCGATTCGCGAACCCTGACGCTCCTCTGTGATTTCCGACTGCGAAGCTCCTCGAAGAACCTTCACCTTCGTCTCTGTTAAAACTGTCGCGAGCTAGTCTGCTCTTCTGCGAACTGCGATCTCCTCTGTTCCAATTCGCCATGATCTCTTCCTCTTCCTTCTTTCTGCATCGATCTCCTCCGCCCTAGAACATAACCTCGCTCTCTCTGATCTTCTTTCTGCATCGATCTCCTCCGCCCTAGAACATAACCTCTCTCTCTCTCTGATCGACACAAAAGAATAGGGATCCACACAAATTTAGGAAAAAGCACAAAGATTTAACAAAGTTCTGTCTGGAGCTATTTCAATAATTAAGAGGAGTTACATATCCTTAGGATTACGCAACTATTTATAGATAAAACCCACAGATAAATTTATAAATATGCCTTCGCTCCCCCCAACCAACTAATCCAAGAGACACATATTTTCACATCAAGAGACGCCTTTTCATTCCAGGATACACACCTCTCCAAATCTAAGAGATCCTAAATTCTTAGTATATGAGTCATATCTAACATAATATGCATCTCAAAGTTGCTTCATTATATTTAAGGGATTTCACATTTCAGTTACTAATATGAAAAATGAAGAGAACAAGTAAATCGAACAAACACATTTTCTTCCAATTTTTAATAAATATCATACTAAACAGTTTGATGTGGAAGAACTTTGAATGAAATCTAATTCAAATTATTTAGAAATTTGTACAACTTTATGCAATTGTTAACTCATCCATCACTATTACAAATTTCATGATTGTTTTCTTTACATATTTCAATAAAAGGGCTTTGAATTTAGCTCGAAGATTATTAATTGTTCGAAAATTGATTCAAATTTTGGCTCGGATCGAATAAATGAGCCGAGCCATGAGCTGAATTTTTGAATCAAGCCTTTTTCGAAACATACATGGACCAACTCGAACTAACTCGAGATCGGCTCATAATAATATACATACATACATACATACATACATATATATATATATATATATATAT